TCTCTGTGCGAAAGAGGCTATCGGCGGGAACGTTGCTGATGAGCTGGAAAAGAACGCATATAAAAACCTGGTTACGTGCACGATAAACGCAGTGGGTGCATAAGGTTGTACAGGCGCCTGGCCTGATCCCACCCAACACAGTTCCTGCCCCCCACCTGGTCCTCATCCATCAGCTTGACGTTATACTTGTGCGGCAGGAACTTGGGCATGACCCACTTCTTCCTGTGCTCCTTGAGGCTGGTGGGAAGCTTTCTGGGGGAGCGTCGGGCACGGTCACCTGGCAGAAAACGGACACTCCGCGTGAAATACCCGCCACGCGCTCAGAGCACGCCACCATGCCCAGTTAAGTACCTCACTTTATGAATGTGTTATAGTTAAATATTCACATGAAAAATTTACCTGGGACACAGTAAATATCTACGGGTGAGCCTGTATGTGAAATATGACCCTTCTAACTCGGTGACTAATGCATTCACGGAGGACGACAATGTTTACCTGGCACTCGGCACTTGATAAACTCACTCAGTGTGCCAGTGCTTTACAGGCCTTTGAAACCAAAACCACCCAAATTATAATTTTGCTTAAAACCAACAAACACAAAGGCTGCCCAGAAAAGTGGTGGTACTAAATCAGGAATCGGCGCCTCATCTTTCCACCTGAGGGACTTCAGATATCCTGGTATCGTGCACTATTTAATTTCTGTACCAGTGGGTTAGTCATTATGAATAAATCATGAACAGTCCAATCCCAGCGTTGCATGCGGTCTGAGCCCAGTACTCACAGGAGTGACTCCTCCTGCTCTCCTCCTCAGGCTGCAGCTCCACCTTCAGCTGTTCCCTGCTGGTATTCTCCTTATCACTGGATGGGGAGTCACAGGCCCCCTCCACCTTCTTCTCCACCAGCTCATCCAGCACTCCCTCCAGGGGCAGCACCTCCACCACCTTCACCCTGAGGCTCCTGTCCTTCCCCACCTGCAGGCACACACAGACCAGCCAGTGCTACCCCTGGAACCTGAGCTCACACATGAAACAGCAGGCATCTCAAGAAAGAAAATCTACACTTACCAGGAAGTCACATTCCTCACCAACAGCATACTTGGTGAAGATCTCCAGCCATGCCTGGTCCACCAGCTTGTCCAGGGAAAGAGTGTTATGGTGAACCATCTCCAGGACTGGTTTCTCAAACCACAGAGGGTATTCCTCCTTGAGGCTGTCATAACACAGCGAGAGGCCAGTGTCACTTCCCATCTGCTTTCAGCAATAGGAAACACTGAGAAACACTCAGAGGTTCAGAAGATGACCTTGTGAACTGCATGCAGAGATCACTCAAAAACAGGTAAACAGGAGAGTCAGATTCAGCTTCAGCGAAATGAGCATGAACATCTGATCACATCAGTGCAGCCACTCGACTTCATATTTCATATTACAGCCCATCGAGGGAACACAGCACTGCGTCAAGAGGAATGCAACCAGCAAAGTTTAAAAGGGCATCTTGTAAGCCATCAATCCATTCATTCATTTTCTCTGATGGCTTTGACTATTCAGGGTCGTGGAGGATCCAGTGGGGCTAAGGGCACAAGGCAGGGAACAACCCAGGACAGGGTGCCAACCCATCACAGGGTACAGTCACACACCATTCACTCATACCAGCACACCTACAGGCAAATTAACTCCAATTAACCTCCGCTTGCTTTTGGACCATGGGGGAAAACCAGAGAACCAAAAGAACATCACCCACAATGACATGGAGAGAACATGCAAGCTCCACACACTTGGAGCCATGGCGGGGATTCAAACCCTGGTCCCAGAGGTGTGAGGCAACAGTGCCAACCTTCCTAACCACTGCACCACCATGCTGCCCATCTTGTGAGCATCCTTCAAAAACCAAATGCTAAATGTGAACCACATGGGCAATCTTGGGAAGGGAATCTAACGAACTACAAAACAAAACAAAAAATAGCTAACATCAGGTGACATTCTCCCCCCTTTCTACTCTCACAATCATCAGATGGTTTGTTTTTATTTTTTTGTTTAAACAAAGCTGCTCAACCAATTAAGCAATATGCTGCAATTTCACACACCACAGCTCAGCACCAGTACACAACATGACACACAAAGGCTCGGCCCCGTGAGGGGGCCCGGGGAGACTGTACTCACAGTTCAGCCACCTCCTGCTCCTCCTCCCAGGCCTCCTTATGCGTCAGCTGGCCGCTGCCTGTGCTCTTGCAGGTCCAGATGTGCTCGCTGTACCTCTGCAGGCGAGCCTCAAACTCTCTGATCACATTTGCTCAGGAAAAACACGAGCGCCCCCCCACAGACACCGAGTTAAACAAATGTCACCAGACAGAAGGCGCCCCGCTGAGGCCTGTCAGCACACTGCATCCATTTTAAAATGAGCTCCGGTGGCAAAGCGACATCCATGTTGATGTTCTTGTGTTTGTCCCCAGTCATCCTATACAATAAATAAAGCATTTATTGTGTGTATGTGTGTGTGGGGGGGCGGCCCAATCAAACTACTGCAGGACTCTATAGCAATAGCTTGTCTCTCTCCCCTCCTGCAAAGGGACCCTGACAGGCAGTATTTACATGTGTTTGTTTACATCAGATACAGCTGGTCCTGGTTATAACAGCAGCTGGGTTCTTGTCTTTTTCGTTAATAATGCACAAGTCAGCAATAACAGTATCGAGTGTCATTCTGCATTATATACGGCTGCCAGACTCAAGTGACTCTCCCACAACCCCATCTCAGTCTGCCTACGGTGCCTGGACGAACACAGTCCAATGACCTTCGGAGAACGGCATCTGCCTGACAAACAGCGAGCAGGTCCTGGTACGGCTCTCCGTAAACATTACAGGGACCACGAGCGAAGGGTGACAGGTGACATAGAACGCCACCTTCGGCAAGGTGGAGGGCGACAGCATGGAGCCGGGTATTCGCACTAAGTGCTTCCATTCTGAGCTACACACAGCATGCTAAACCCGGTCTGTCTGTGCCCACACTTAATAATTAATAGAGTGACAGGCGATCGGGCGGTGTTAAAAAAAAAAAAAGAAAGAAAGAAAGAAAGAAAAGAAGAACACTCCCCCATGCATGTACGAAGCGAGACTGGGAGCTGCGGGAGCACGGGATTAAATACTAGGCTGAAAGTAGGCCTGCGGTGTGCGAAGCCAGCGTCTAAATTAACACCGGGGCGATTCAGTGCAAGGCAGTGGGCAATCAGCAGCCGAGCACCGGCCATGCACCCAGCAGATGGGACCGCAAGGCGGACCACACACCTCCAGTGATCCCGCTCCCAGTCACAGATGTTGCCGAATCCCCAGGCGAGTCGGCGGCATAGATGGACGCTGGCGGCCCCCATCAGAGCCAAAGGATACTCTTTGTCCCCGAAGGCCTCCTGGGTGTGCGGGATTATGTAGATCTCTTCTCCAGAGCCAGGCGGCTCAGCCAGCGACTTGACCAGAGGGTAGGGCTTCCGCCCCAGGAGCGGTGCCATGATGCGTCGTCAGCGCGTTGAATCCTCCTACCCGGCACCGCTGACAGGAGGGCACGGCGCGGTGGCGTAACTCCGGTACACCGAAATCAAACGCCGATCGCCGGGGCCGCGCTCTAAAGCATCCAAAGTGCGGCAGTCACTCCGGCTCGACCCAGCCGGCAAGACAACAACAATAACGGCACTAACAGCGAGAGCACGCCAGTTTCAGTCACACCGACGCCGCGCTGCGACCGCCGGGCGTGCCACCACCCGGGCCATGGCGCTCCGGTCTAAGAAAGGCGGCGGGGTATCTGACGCGGGCGGTCCGGCCGAACCTCTCCAGGGGCTGCCCCAATCAGCCGGCTGCGCTTCCTCCTGCGAAACGGAGACGCCTTACTGCGCTGCTCACGCGGGGAATAGAGGCCCTTCCTGACACATAGAGAAACCCGAGGGAATCGGGTCTTTAATTTCTCTTAATTTCGACGGATACGAAAAAAAAAAACAAACAAACGAGAACCTGAGGGCTCGGTTGAAAAATGGCGGGAGTTCCTACTCCACCGGCACCGTTCGGCTCAGCCCTAAAGCTCCGTTACCCCGGCAGCCAAACAGCGTCGCCCCATATGCCCCGCCCCCGCCGGATGCTTATTGGCCGCCGAGCTTCTGCGCAGCAGCGGCAGTCGGTCAGAGGTCCGTATAACTGTCCGTCATTGACGTAACTTCATCGTGCCCCCCCCCCCTTACTCGCGCGACAGTCGATTTGTAACTCCGCCCAGTAAGGTCGATGTAGTGACGTCAACTTAAAAGAAAGGGTTAAAGGTTATCTGGGGTAAGTCAAATGACTGCCTTATAGGCTCAAACGTCAGAGTAGTTAAGAAGGTGGTCAATGTTTTAGAATTAAGACTATTTGTCGTCAGTACTGTTATGGAATTTTTCCTTGAGAATGACTTTTTAATAGTACTCCATTATAAATTATATTATATACACTATACAGTATTGTGCATTTAATCACAATTTCAATGTAGAATAGGACTAAAGATTTATCGTAACAACATACATATAACTGCATTACTGAAATTTTGGGTGATAGTCCTGAAGTGTCTGTCTTCAATTCAGAATCACACACACATTCACATACATCATCTTCTCCTATGTTATATCATGGTCATACAAATTAGACCCACATAGAAAATAATTAACCAAAAATCTGTCTGTAACAACACTCCTTACGATCCACCTGTTACTGTCTCTGACCTGGGAGAGACAAGCTGAGGTGAATACAGATAAATTCCAGCCTCACATATCAGAGACCTTGTTCTTTGTCTTTGTCAGTTTTCTTTAAATCACTAACCATCTTAGTACAGTGAATTAAGACCTCTCAGCAGCAAGCTAGCAAATATAATATTACGTAAGGCTATGTGCGCAAAAATACTTTGAAATCAGTTTCTATTTCTAGAAAGTACACAGGAGCCTGGAAGTGATATGTAGGCTGTATCTTTGTTGTCAGTAAATAAATGCAGGTAGACAGTGATACTTTATGTTGCCATTTTTTTATTCAACACAACACAAGGAAAGGTTGATTACATACTTTACGGGGTCCGATCTCCTTTCTGACCTCCCGCTATACTTTTCCCCCGGCCAATGAACAATCGAGGGATGTTTGCATCATAGAACAGACCGCCCATGTAGTTTTGATTTTCAAGTGGTACGCACGCCCGTGTGTGGCCCTGAAGTGTGGTCTTTGCGCTTGAACACTGTGGCGTCAATTATTTCACAAGATTGCATCCATATCTGCAGCAAGTATGAACCAGGCTTAAATGGTAGGAGGGGCCACTGGGCGGTCAATCGGCACTTGTTATGGTTATTTTGCTAGTCTAAAATGGATCAAATCAGCGCTTGATTGACAGACCATGCTAATACCACCCATTGTGGGTTTCAAATCCCCTTCAAACACCAAAACATGTGCAACTGAGCTACAATAGAAAGTGTATTGACTGTCTATATAAGATCATGCAAAAACTAGAGAGATTCTACCATGGCCCAGGACTGTGATGTGTGTTAAGTCACACACCCATCCAGTTCGCTAGAGCCTTTCCCAGGCAGGACAGGGTACAAGGACAGGGTCACCTTGGACAGGATGCCAGTCCACTGGGCGACATATAGACGCCAATGAGCCTAACTGCATGTAACTGAGCTACAGAAAAAAAAAAAAAAAAACACTCAGGACACGAGGAGACCACGCATGATCCAGCCCCACACTGAACGGGGGTGAGATTCACATCCCCAGCAGTACTACTGCTAAAGGCACCAAGCCCCCCTTTGAACACGGTCTTCTCGTAATTCCTAAAATAAAATATATAGGCAAGCGTTCTTGTCTTCAACACAGAGATATTTTCATATATCTAAATTTAAACATTCAAGAAAGAAAAAAACAGCTACATTTGGTTTTACTGGGCGCTTAAAAGCCTGAACATTTAAGACAAGGCAGTTTTAAAACACACCATGATTTCTAAGGCAAAATCTACATGCAAATTGCACATATCCAAGCAAACCGTGCAGCAGTCAGGCAGGCAGTTTTTGATTCTCATTCTGATTCGTTTGATAGAACCCGTGTGTTTGTTCACACGCTCAGCTCTTGGCTTCTGCAAACAGGTTGTCCAGTGCATCCTGAGCATCCTGGATCTGCTGTTGCAGTCTCCGCTGCATGTCCTCATTGGAGGTCTTCTGCAGCATTGCCTCCATGTCCTGGATAGCCGCCCGGTAGCCTGGAGCGTTGTGGAAAACGCGGATGGCGCGGCCTCCGCTGCAGGCCAGGAAGCGGCTGTTGATGTCGAACGCCAGGTCCACAATGTCCTCGCTTTGAACGTCGTGAAACTCCTCCTCTAGCTCCCCGCTGGTCGTGTTGTACAAGGTCATGCCGCAGCCATTGGACACTGCAACCACCCGTGCATCAGGGGACAGGGCAATACGACTGTTCTCGGACACCTGGCAAGACACTGTCCTCAGCAGGTACGGGTCCTGCTGCTCCTCGTAATCCACATCAGTATCCCACAACTTCCATGTCCCATCTCTGGACAATGTCACCATCCTGTTTGACATGGCATACAGCAAGTTAATATTATCTGAACCGAATTGCTCATAAATGTTACTCAAAGACTGATTGGCATTTGTACCTACATGACCATGCAAACGTTTGGGTACACCTAACCATAGTAATATTTACAATAATTAAGGACATCAACACTATAAAATGACATACAGTGGTACCGCAGAACTCAAATTTAATCCGTTCAGAACTCCGGATCGAATCCTAAAAAGTTCAGGTTCTGATCGAATTTTCCCCCCAAAAAATAATGGAAAACCAATTAATTGGTTCCCGGCCCCAAAAAATTGCACCTAAATGTTCTTTTTTAGCATTTAAACACAAAATGAACCGGATAAAACAAGAAGAACATATACTGTATTAAACACATCTAAGCACATTTATCAAAACAGTAATTTTTAAAGTAAGAAAATAAATGAATTCAAACAATGTGTCCTGCCCTGATTGTCTGCTCCTTCCATGTGCCATTATAATAATATTAAAATCTTTATTTTTAAATGTATAATAATTAGTTAATCATTGTCTAAATGTATTTTTACTGTCTAAATATGTATTCAGCTAGCGTAAACATGCATGATGCTATCACAGCGAATGCAAGGCTGAGGCGTTACACTTTGTTTCCACTGAGATGTGTCGCGTGACTCATTTCCCCGTGCATACAAGTTCTTAGGTCAGCGTTCACGGTCCGTCTTCTGAGATTCAGATCGAGTTATAGGTATTTTTTTTCGAACTGGTTGGTTCGACTTTTTAGAAATTTGAGTTCTAATGAGTTCGAGAACTGAGGTACCACTATATATGGAATTATGCACTGACCAAAGAAGAATTCGAAAAAAATTCGGGGTGGGGGGGGGGGCGTTTAACTCCGTGGGTTGGGACTCAGAAGGTTGCCGGTTCAAATCCCTGGGTTGGCAGAGTGATCCCACCTTTGGGCCTTTAACTCCAGGAACTGGCTGAGCTATTGACTTCTACGCCAGTTTCATGAGGTGACCTCCAGTGATGCTTATCCAACTGTCCAGAAGGAGGTCCCACATATATGATGAGCTCTCATTGTCTGCTTTTCCTTCACTCTCTGGCCAAACTCCTCAAAAACCATCTCATCTCTAGGCCAGGTAGCCAGGTCATGTGAAGCGACACTATCGCTCTCCTTTGTTGGTGGCTTGGTGTGTCCAAACTTGACTACAATAACAGTTGGGGAAATCATTGTGTTTACACTAGGATTGTACAGGACAGCTCGCAGCCAGACTCGCTTATCAATCAAACTGAAAGACTTGCCTGTTACGACACACATTTGTCAGGCTGGTTCCACACAGCAGACCCACCTGCAGGAGTCACCGGAGAACGCAAAGAACTGGACAGGAGAGGAGTGTCCCTGGAGGTCAAACGCTCGCACCACCTCTTTGAACTGTCCATCTGTCGTGAAGCACACCTCCCACACCTTTACGTTGCGGCCGCAGGATGCTACAAACCTGCCCAGTGGACACACAGCGTCACATGTTGTGGCTGAATATTCTGAGTGCTCAGCTGCACAACAGAGCACAAAGCATGCCCCAAAGTAAACCCATACCTGCCACAAGGAGAGATGGCAGCATAGAGGCTGGTCGTCTGGTTAGTGTCGATGGAGGCCAACAACTTGCCATACAGGTCCCAGAGGATAATGGTGGCATTGCTGCATGCAGTCATAATAAATGTTCCTGGGGAAAAAATAAAAGCATGAACCAAAGCTACCAGTAGCGATGGACAACATGAGGCTTCAAAAACCATTTGTTGTATTTTTAAACCCTCTAAATGGTGCTCTTGATTTACTTTGGGGCATGCTTTGTGCTCTGTTTGTACAGAGTGCTCCATCTAGTGGAGTTAAAAGAAACAGCAAATGGTTCAAAAAACTTCATTTTGTCCCTCACTACAGGAGGAGAATAATTTTGAAGGTCACAGGATACCTGTTCTGTTTTTAACAATTTTATTGGACAAAAGGTTAATAAAATGAAACAAGAAAGGAGTATGTGCACTTTTGGTAAATGACAGCCCATTTTTGGGACACACCGCACTCAGCAACACATACATGATCAATAAAATAAGAAATGGTGGTTTGATGTCAAACTGGTCAATGAACCACCAACAGTGCTATTAACTGTACCAGTTTCTGCAATGCCGATGTTGACAACGGTCGCTGTGTGCAGCCGGGGAAAGTCCTCTGGAGCAGCTTTGAAGCTGAAGGAGCTGTCGTTCTCCTTGCACATCTGGAAAACACGGAGGGTCTTCTTGCCAGCCAGCCAGGTGATGAAGGTGCTGTAATTCAGAGAAAAGTCTCTCAATACAGGGAAGAGGCAGCCAACAGGACCCTGCCACCCTGACCGACCAGTGCAGCCATGTACCGTGAGTCAGGGCTGAGGCTCACAAGTGAAGCGTGGTCCTTCTCTATAGCAACACGCAAACACTGGTGCTCGCTGCTCAGGAAATCCTTTGTGCTCCAGATCCGGATGGTGCAGTCATCAGAGCAAGATACCAAATATTTCCCATTGCTGCTGAAATCCAAGCAGGTGACGTTGCCATAGTGACCCTAAGGAGGTGGACAACACATTTTACTTATAAACAGGTCTTCCCTTTGGTTGTGACGGACAACAAGGGAGTATGTGTGAGCAGTAAGAGCAAGCTGAGCAGGAGGGGTCGAAGTTGAACAACATTCAATTTGGCAACCTGCTTGTCAACAGGTAAGGAGATGACATAATTGTGCGGTAGGCTTCAGAATAGCCCAGTGCTGTAAGATCAGTCATTGTACAATAAGCAAACTTCAAAACGCGTCCTCCACTCATACATGCAGCGTGGCGGCCAGGAGCGGGTGGCTGAAGCTGTGCTGCTCCAGTTCCTCCACATGAGGGAGCTGTAGCTGCTCTGGCTCCTCGGTGGGGTACGGTGTGTCATCGTGCTCTTGAGCTGCGGGCAGGTATATTGCAAGACACCGGCTCATTTTAGATTTTCATCAAAAACCAGTCAGCGCCCAGCAATGTCGAAGACAATCAACACCTATTTTTAATTAAGTGATGGTTTAAGTACTGGGTGGGCTACCAGCCGCTGTGGTTTTATTTAGTTTTACGTTTAAATCATCATAATAACGTTTTAGTTATACCAAAGTATAGCGATGCCTGCATGCGCATCCATTTAAATGGTTTAAATGTGGTGTACATGTTAAGTCGTGGAAGTGTAAAATATTAAATGTGTTACATTTAAATTGTCTCCGAGTTTCAGCTAGACAGTCGGCTATACCATCATTCACAATGAAATTACACAGCAATTTACTCTGAAATTCAATCCCCCCTAACAGATCGGGTTTAGTTCTCACTAACTGGATTCAAAACGCCAGTATCGAGTTTCTATGCCTGTCGCTATTTTAGGTCACATTATAAACGCATCACTTCAGTTTTGCATAAAAAAAGTTTTGCAAAAAATAAAAAATAAACCTTTACATGAAGGTAAAACTGAATTACACATTTTGCACTGTTATAATCACAAACTATAGCGGTGGAAATCGGTAATATTCAGCACCAGCACATTTTCCACTTCAGTTCTACTCACCGTCGGTTATTTCAGTGGATTCGCTTTTCTCATTCAACTCCGTTTTCCCTTTACCAAATGCGACAAAGAGGAGCAGGAGCAGCGCTCCTAATAACACAGCGACGGAAACGGCCAGCTCCATCTCCAGCCCGAAACACTTTGCTCTCTGATCAGCGGTCCTGTCGAGCCACTGGAGTGCAGGTAATGTAACAGACAGGTAAAGGTGTGCTCAGTTGTCAGACTAAACCTAGGAATGTGTGTATGAGGGCAAGAGTAGTGTCCTTTTCCTTCTTTCTTATATTAAGCGCAAGAATATATATGGGGGTGGGGTTTATGAACAACATAAATTAATTAAACGTGCACTAGACCAATAGCACCGTATTGACAGTGTGCAGCAATGCAGGTCTAACGTAAATTGGCCTGTCGTAATTATGCCGGGTTGGATTTTTTCAGCAAGCCGTAAAGCAGATTATTTTTGCCGGAAAACGGGTAACCAACATAAGTAACGTGGGTTAGTTGTTTTGGTTGGTTGAGTTTAAGAAGTTGCGATATTTATATATTTTTAGTAATGGCCCTGTACACGAAAGCCGCTGAGATTCTTGAGAAAGTAGAGCGTAAAGAAGGAGCGGTCAAGACTTTGGTGTATGAAAGTAAATTTCAGGTAGGTACTTCATATTAAATAATGTCTGCCGTTTTCCAACAACTTAATGATAACGATCTCATTGGATAGAAAAAGAAAATTGTTAGTTTTACAAACTCATTATTTGTGTGGTTAAAATTGGCGAGTTATTTTAATCACAATGCATCGATACCGTTTGTCTAAATGCCTTTTAAAAGAAGAGATGGACTTTTGTAAAAGAACAGCATCTAAATATGAACTATCGTTACATGAATGCGAAATCAAAAGTATAACAAAGCCCGAGATGCGGCAGTTCTCATGCGAAACTTATTTTTGTATCAGAATATCAAGCAGCTTTATGCCCTGGTATGTGAGACTCAGAAGTATTCCTCCGTACTTCAAGATATCATAATCTCTACCAAGCTGCTTAAGGAGACGAAGCTCAAAATGAATTTGGCCAAGGTAATTACTGGTTCTGTCTTATCTCACCCCATGAAATGTCTGCACTGACAATACAGCTTATACCAACAGACCAGATGTTCTCTGGTCTCATGTTTTCCAGGTTCTCCTGTACGACTTTCTGATTGGCCAGGGGCTGAAGTGTGGTGGCAGTTGGAAGGCTGTGATGATGAAGCACCGCTCCCGGCTGCAGGCGGCACTCGCCCGCATGAAGGTCAAGAAGAAAGTCAGCCGCAACCAGGACCTGCTTCCCCCAGGCATCCGCAAGGCATCCGGTGTGTACGTGCGTCAGGGACAAACAAATTGCTTGTGCTTAGGTCATTCCTGTTCTTATTCTTAGTTGGGTCACTGCTTCCTATTCTAGGTGGAACTTATACAGTTATTTAAGCAACAGAAATTGACACACATTGTTTATGCAGGTTAATTTAAATAAACCTTAGGTTGAACTAAGGCACCGGTCAACATAAATCACAGGTGGACATGTCATGACTCTGCATCTGTTCTACTAACCTGATACCTCTTTATGTTCTCTGAATGCTCTTATGTTGCACTTCCTGGTTCTAGCTGCATTTATGCCTATTTGACCCGTTGACAGCATGAATATTCACATTGTTGTATCTGCCTCGCTTCTATGTCGCTTTGGACAAAAGCATCCGCTAAATATGTAAAATGTAAATGTCCACAGAAGATCAACTTCCACGCTATGTGCGTGTGAATACGTTGAAGACCACCATGGAAGACGTCATCGATTACTTTAAAAGGGAGGGTTTCTCTTACCAAGGCCAAGCTGCTAGGTACGTTCTGGGATTGTGTGGCTGCAACAGAGCTTCAGATAGGAAAACCAGACACGTTTTTATTTTTTCATCTGGAATTCTGAAACTTGGACCCGGTGAACTGTTCTCGGCACCTTTACAGGTTGGATGATCTGCGCAGTCTGTCAGGGAAAACATTCCTCTGCGACCAGCACCTCCCAGAACTGCTCGTCTTCCCTCCAAAAATGGACTTTCATGCGCACTTTCTGTACCAAGCTGGACACATCGTTCTGCAGGATAAGGTGGGGCCCTCTTAGTCACACATTGTGTTGTGTTTTTTTTTTTTAAACACATTATTTCATTATTATGGTAAAGTGGCAGCATTGCAGTTACAGCGATGAATAGCCATATGTCAGCTGGGCAGATGAAGGTGCAGCACGTTTCCCCTGGTGGTACTATAAGGCTCCCGCATAACTGCCTGAACCCTGCTCATTCCCTGTGACATTGCAGGCCAGCTATTTACCTGCGTACCTCCTGAACCCCCCTGCTCATTCCCTGTGGCATTGCAGGCCAGCTGTTTACCTGCGTACCTCCTGAACCCCCCTCCTGGGGCTCATGTGCTTGATGCCTGTGCTGCTCCTGGGAATAAAACAAGCCAGCTTGCTGCCATCATGGGCAATAAGGGGTGAGTAAGAGGTTGTAATTCCCTCCAACCTCCCTCCCCCATTCTGTACTAGACTCCTCTCTCTGTGATTGAGTACAGCTTATCCCTCCATGGTTCTTTTAGCAAGCTGGTCGCGTTTGACCTCGACGCAAAGCGACTGTCCACCATGAGCACGCTGTTGCTCCGGGCCGGTGTCACATGTCAGCAGCTGGCCAATCAGGATTTCCTGAAAGTCGACCCCGAGAGCCCCGAGTACCGCGGAGTGGAGTACATATTGCTGGACCCCTCCTGCAGTGGATCAGGTGAGGACTTCTCTGGTTTTAGGGTCCCACATGTCAGAGATGATGGCAGTGATGCTGAGTCCTGACGCGTTACAGGGATGGTCTGTCTGCGGGACAGCTCTCCGGCGCCCCCACAGGAGGAGGAGGCGCGTCTGCAGGCTCTGGCTGCATTCCAGCTGCGCTGCCTTAACCACGCCCTGCGCTTCCCTCGACTGCAGCGCCTGGTCTACTCCACCTGCTCAGTCCACAAACAGGAAAATGAGGAGGTGGTATCGGCTGGCCTGCAGCAGAACGAGGGTTACAGGTACCACTAGGGGCAGCAGCCCTTCGGGCCCAATTTCTTAGTCACTCTGCTGACGCTGAAATGTAAACGCTGAGGAAAGGTCACACAGTCCCTGCTGCTTCTCCTGTCACTTTCCTGTTCTGTGCTGTTTCCATAGGCTGATCCCGGTTCTACCCAGCTGGCCTGAACGAGGCCTGGAGCCCCTGACCCAGTGTCTGCGCGCCAGCACCACCCACACCCTCACCCACGGTTTTTTCGTGGCCTTACTGGAGCGACGACCCCCCAGCAGTGAGGACGCCGCACCGATGCAGTGAGTGCTGGGGGGTCCGCATACAGTCTGACAGCTGATTTTATTGTTCTGATGCACTAGAGATTGACACTCAAGTCACTTGGGAGTCGTGTTTACCTCAGCTGGCTCTCTCCGCACCCCCCAACCCCCCCCCCCCCAGACTCTCCACCACTGCGTCATCACCAGAGATTTCGGTCAGCAACGAGAACTGGGAGGCAGGAACGGTGTCACTGGATCAGGATGCCGCTGAGGGCAATAAGGGCAAAAAGAAGAAGAAGAAGAGGAAGGGCAATACAAAGAGCCAGTGCTGAATGGCGGATGGAGGCGGGGCTTCAGGCACATGTCGGATACCGTACGTGCGTCAGCGAACTGCCTTTAGAGTGGGCTGACCCATAACGGGGGGGTGACCGAGAATCTGTCAGTATGTCTTCATTCAAAGTCATTTCCATTATGTCAGCTGGAACAGAAGAACACAACGCCCTCCCGCAGCTCAAATCTGTTCAGTCGTTCATTTTTATCCCAGTCCAGCAAAAAATGTTTACCACACAGAAGTCAGACACTTGGCCTGCCCCACAGGCAGGGTTAGGGACAGACTTCTGGCCCATGTTTCAGGAATTGCCAATCCCACCTAGGCTTATAGCAGTTTTGCATGCGTTAATCTGGCAAGGTAACGGAATTTTTTGCTGTTGAATGTATTTGCCATAATAATCTGGCTCACTTTGTCAGTACAACAATCAGTGCCATAGCTGAATAAAAGTTTTTGATAAAATCCTGAGAGTGTACTTTTTTAAAAAGGCTACAGTAGCTGTAAAAGTTTGGGAAAAAAATGTTTTTGTGTGAGTTTTACAAACTCCACTTTACAGGTTTACATTTTTATTTATTTATTTACTGAATTCTTCAATCTCTGCTCATTTCAGCGGCATTATCACAAATCTGGCGGAAGGGGGCGTCATTGCCTTTATGTTTGCAATAAAGACACGCTCAGTGACTTGTGTTTAGCCAGAGTAGGTTTAACTACTGTTAAATCTAGAAATGTATCTAACATTTTATAGCATAGGCCAAAGTGAAGAAATTAATGTAGGCCGAATTATAATATTGCAAGTAATGTTGCAGTGCACTATATGGAGAAAACATATATGAATATTACTCCAAATGTCTTTATTCTTTCGCACTTATCAGGAAAAATGAGACGTTAAAAATGACCGTCGATCTTTCAGGCACAGTTAGATTTATTGTGTGCGACGTGGTGAAGTAGCCTACTAACGGTGTAGCGGATATCACAGCCGGACAAATGAAGATCTGCATGCTGTTATGTAACGTTACTCCCATTCCCAAAAGCTTCTCAGTTCTCTAAGCATTTGAGGACAACGTGAGAGCATCTCTACGAAAAAGCGTGCATCCTAGAAATCAGTGACGTGCCGGAATTCCCACAGCCACCACGCCCTCCCCGTGGGGTAGGGAATGGGCGCACCAGGGCGAAGATGACGCTTGGGTCCCCATCCTTCAACTTTCAGTTCCTTTCTGAAAAAAAGATAGAGCTTTCATTATTTCACACTATGCTCAAATTCACCTCTTTCGCTGCGGCTTCCGCAGTCTGAAGCTAGCAAAGCCTCAGAGAAGAAAGTAGATGAGACGGACTAGAAAGCTTCTAGCGGAAAGAGTAGGAGCCCACGGAAGAATGACAGTCAGTGGAGGTGGCATCGCTCTGCATCTCCCAGTAATGCGAGCCCTTTGAGCGCCTCCAGCCCTGCTTGTTACAAGGGGGACAGAAGGAGTTAAAGATGAATAGACTTTAATTCGTGACACATGTTGATTGAGCTATAGGACCTCAGCGCTCTCCCCGCTCTAAGCGAACCGTCATTTTTCCCACTTGTTGGCAGTAAACTGCCCAACATTTTTTGGCTTCTGATTTTTCCGTCTTCTTCAGCAGCGTTTTATTTTTGAAACGATGGACCTAACTAAAATGGTAAGGATCACAGCGGAGTTTCACCCAAATGGGCGTAGGTCCGTGTAATAGAGGGGGTTTTCGTTGTCTGGACATTTTTGTTGTATTTTTCTGTCACTTAGCTGGCGTTTGATCAACCGTAAAAATCGTCATTTTTGGTTTTGTTCACTATTTATATATAAACGAGACTGTCCAAGAAAGTGATTGCGTGCCTTTTGAATATGACGACAATCCCACATCTTGTCTGTAACCTGGAGGATGTTACTGCTGTTTCAAGTTTTAATTTAGACTGCTATATTTTAAGGCATTTGGGTTGATCGAATAAAGCTCGTCAAACAGAGGGTGGAAGCGTAGTCATATCATTTTTAAAGTTATTTCCTAAGTAAGCACATATTAATAAATTTAGTCACCGAGTTCCTTCACTTACGTGGCCATTCTAAAAAAAAAATGCGATTTAGTTGCACAGATCACAGATGCTTCATGTCTTTACAGTCAGTGTCGTTTATATACGTTAATACCAGCACAGATGCTCCATTGCAGAGTTCAACAGTTGTCGCTTAAAATTGTTTCTTTACACATTGATGTTTGAATAAACTTGACTCCGGTATAGATCAAGGGATCGGTTCATTATCCCCTCTATACAGAAATCAGTCATACGGTTCAGTCCGACTTCTGTTTTGATAATGATGTTCCCTGAGTTGTGACACAACAAGGGAGTCTGGCAGTTTCAGTTGTCACGGAACATTGTGTCGTTTGGGTAGTATTTTATCTAACGCTATAGCATACCTGTCAAGTTTTGGATTTGGAAAATAAGGGAAATTTTCCGGCACCCACCGCGAGCCATCCCACCACCCCAACCAAGCTCCAGTATCCCTTACATTTTAAGACAGGTGTACAAGAAATCTAAAATAACCACTTGCCATTTACATTTTATTTTCATTACACATTTTCCTTTAATTCCTCATGTTCATTTATGTGGCTCTCTGGTATTCACTAATGACTTATACAGATTAGTTGCAGACTTTGTATCCTTGTTTAAGTCGTCACAGAAGGTGAAAGTAACGTTGTTTTTGGCACACAGCATTACCATTTTAACCTCCGCATTTATGACCTGGTTAATGTTGTAAATGACCTGCAGACTACTGCAGGTGGCAGTTCTCGCGAGGCTACTGACAATTCAGTTTTAAATGATATTATAATACGGGAGATTTACGGGAAAATACTAATACGGGAGGACGGCGGGAAAGAGGGGTAAAATACGGCCAAAACTTGACTTGACAGCTATGCGCTATAGGGGCTAGGTTTCTCTTAATATCTCAGCCTTCACACATACTTTTGTAATCCTGCTGATTTTAGCTTAACTTAATTGTCCCCAAGGAACGGGGAAATAGTGGCCTAAGGTTTCAGATGTCATTTCGGTGGGATATTTTCAAATGTTCTTGTCAGTCGTCATTAACTTTCTGTGAAATTTTAAAGATGCTGTATATTTCCCTGTGACTGAGTTGTCCGGCCTTGCAGGGGATGTATTTTTGTTCTGTTTTTATCCTGTGTCGCTTGATGGCCAGTGCGCGTGTGATTTTCCATCGTGGATTTAAAAAATTATAATTGGTTCTGGATTGTTAATAAAAAATCTTTAAAATCGATGAGGCTGGAGCCGTAGGCTATATGGAGTGTAGCTTAGGGCGTCGGAAATAGGGAGGGCAGGAAGGACCCGTCCCCCAATAAATAAATAATACCGTGTTCTTTAATTTTGAATCCGCACACTACTCAGGCTAACTTGCCGTGCATGCAGAGGGCAAGGATAAAACTCTGAACACTAAACAGTGTTAGTTTTATTTTAAATTATGAAATCTTTAAAATTTAAAAATCCTTCTCAATTTCGCAGTCTCTTCACTATGTGCCCATTGGCATGTCCCGATATACATCGTACCGCCCCCCAATGTGAAACGCTTTCCGATGGCACTGCCGGAGCTGACATGCCACACAGTGTTATTGAGGAAAAACACAGTACACTAGTGACGGAGTGACAGTCGGCATTGTGGTGAGCCCTAGAATCGAGTTCGCTGCACTACGGTGAGAGCTGATACCTCGACATCTGTGGAGCTTTAAACAGCACGCAGCACAGCATGAAGCTGGTCTGCTCGTTCCGGGCTCCCTGCAGCCTCTGCGCTGTTGCCGTCTCATTGATACCCACCCCTCATTAACGTTTAACGCAGGGAGTCCGACAGGGCGGTGCGTGTCAGCAATTTAAAAAATGTCATGAGAAGGTCTGAGTAGACGGAAAACAAAAGTAGGACTGCAGAGTTGTCCGTTGTCGTTCACAGAGCCATGTCACAACCTGCCTGGGGTCACTCGAGGTCACTCTGCCACAACCTTCCGACCTCCGATTTTGCTCTGATGGAAGGTTCTGATAGGATTTTGCCTAGTTTTATAGCCACTTTTGCTATCAGAGCAGAAGGAAGCACACACCAGCCTGCATCTATTTCTGTTAGCGACCCTGCTGTGTGTGGTTTCTCTCTATGCGAGTTCACACTGTGGGCAGATGAATCCACAGCAAGCAGGAGAGTGCACGATTCTTTTTTTGTTCCTCTAAGCTTGCTAGTTTTCTTGAAGGGGGGGTGTAGTCGTGTACATGGTTACCATCAGAGCTGGGAGGGTTTTCACTAAACTTTCTGCTGACCAATCATTCTTTACCTAAACCGGCACACAAGGGCTACCCAGACCCGTCATGGGGGGGGGGGGACAATGGGTATCTTTTCCTGTTCTTGGACCCAGTGGGGGGGGGGGGGGTACAAGAAAATATAGAGAGATATAGTTTTGTAATTGGCCTACAGGTAACACAAATCATTCTAGAAAGAAATGATTTAGTCAAAAAAAAAGTTACAGAAAGTTGCTTTCTATACTGAGAGCCTGATAAAGAAAATGAAAGATCATGAAACTGAATGAGATCATACCTTAAAACAGTCAGGAAGTCCACACTGCAGTGTCAAGAGCAAGGTGAGGGTGATTTACATATTTACATTAAAGCAATGTAATGTTTCTTTGCAGTTTTCCTCTCTCTCTCTCTCTCTCTCTCTCTGTCTCTCTGTCATTCTCTCTTGATGGACTGCAAGAATTTGTACCAAGACAAATCAAGTTTTTTCAAGTTGATCTTTTCTCTGTATTTCATGCAATTTCCCTAAAGTGCAAAATTGCTTCAGCATCATGAAAAAAGGTAGTTTCAGTGTGTAACGAACGGAGAGACTGAGAGGAGAATGTTAGCTGTGTTATTATTATTATTATGTAAGTTACAGTTTCTCTTGTTTAAAGTTAAATACATTTAAAATCAGTTAGCGTTATAGCCATGTACAAACTGGTAGTTGGTTATTTTTGTAAACAATGGTGTTCCTATGCAGGTGCAACAAGTGACTCAGGAAGAGAGGGAGATGGAGGAGAGAAGCGTGGGAGGCAGATATCTATGGGGACAGTAGATGAAGGAGAAGGCAGAGCATCAGTGTCAGACTGAGGAAGATGAGACAGCAGCAGGTTGAATCAGAACAGCATTATGATGATGCAGGGTTGTGATCAGAAATCTATCCGATTGAGAGAGGGTCAGTATGTTCGTACCATAGCAAGTGGACCCATTTTCCCAGAAACCGTAAAAATAATCTGCCTAAAGATGGTGATGAAAAGCATTTCCTGATTTATTTAACATAATCCAATGGTCTGCTGTACCAGAGTGCTATAGTTGATGGTAGCCTGCATTTTTGGCAATGCCTGATTGTTTATTGACTATCAGGATGCTTCTGTATATGGGTTGTTACGACATGGATCACTGTTTTTGGATAGTTTTTGTTCCACTGTCACTCCTCAGTTAAAAACTATGCATTTGAATCTATTTGTGTTTGTCTGGTATTTCCAATTAAGATTACAGTGTATTATGACAATATTGTAATTGAAAAGATAATTCAATTCTTTTGATACAATGTGTCTGAGTAGTTTTATGTTTACATTTTTTGCATCAGCAGTGCTTGATGTGACATGACTGGGTGAATTGGTTTTGTGTGCATTTGTGTTTCACTGCCACCCACCTGGGGTGGGATGGAGGGGGGCCCAAAATTATAAAGCTGCCCCGCCCCCAGCCACCCGAAGCAATGGCTCTGGGGCTACCACAGGCCACCAGCTTTGAATTTATTTAGTACATTACATTTCTCCTCAATCAAGGATGTCTGGGTGCTTCTCAATATTTACACTTGACCATACTTGTGTTCTCGCATACCCGTTTTTCCGCCATCTTCCATTGCCAATACACAAGAACCGAAGTACAAAGGATGGTGAAAATCCCAGGATGTTGTCCTTGCCCTGGCCCAAATATCAGCATTATATAAATGCATTGGTCACATCCTTGCCAAAATAGACCAATTCCATGATTCATTGCGCCTCAAGTTTGTTCTTGGAAGACCAGTCTTGCTAAGACCACAAGTATAATCTTTGCGTTCTTGGTACTGAGAAACGCCCCCTGTTTTAGGTCAGTGTACTGTAATTTCCACCATAGATGTAAAAGTTGTATAAACTGAAACATTGTTTTTGGGTGAATAATCATCTAACCCCCCTTGGTGAATGTCAGCCAGGAAGAGCAGATGTGAGCATCTGTTTCTCCTGATCCCAGTCAAGCAGAAATGGCATCTGGAAAGTTCTGTTTGGGTGACGTACCTTTGCCTTGCCTTGACTCTGTTTTCCCCTGTCACGTAGACCGTGAGCATCAACAAGGCTATCAACGCACAGGAGTTAGCCGTCAAAGAGAAGCACGCCAGGAATATCTTTTCTGTTATGCCCCCTGCTGGTCTGGGGGAACAATGCATTGCTGTTTTTGTGGAAGTCTCTGATGTGTGTGTATTGAAATAAATCTGATTGCTTGGCAAACAAGTGAATTGGCGAGTTGCTTAGACTGGAACAGGAGTTTTTACATCTTGTTTGACATTCCTTGACGTGCATGCACCGTGCATTCTGGGAACACACCACGAGAAGGGCGCCCGCACGTTCTGGATGGTGGTGAATCGCCTGCCCCTCTCCAGCAACGCCGTGCTCTGCTGGAAGTTCTGCCACGTCTTCCATAAGCTGCTCAGGGACGGGCACCCCAACGTGAGTCCCCTGGCACCGTGTGCAGCACATCCATGCAGCCACTCGGGATGTGGACATGCAGAGATGCCAGTGTGGGAGCACTGAATCTGTTCATGGATGCATATATCATTCAGTTATGCACGTTACCCAGTCAGGTCACCCTTGGGGGTTTGTTTACCGGGGCTCTGCCTGACATGTGCTGCTATCTGTGTCCAGGTTATAAAGGACTCAATGCGGAGCAAAGCAAACCTCTGTGACATGAGCAAGATATGGGTAAGAACCTCCATCCCAAGGATAAAATACCCATAATGCACCAAGATTTATCAATGATTCTAAAAAAGTCTCAAGATCTTATGAGTTAAAATTTTCTCTTAGTATCTTAAATGTCACCTTGTATTGTTTTAAAGCTCTTGTGGTGCAGAGTGGACGTCTCGGATCTGTGCTACATTGTAAGGGGGCTGCCACAAGCTCAGTGGAGTGTAGAAATAGTCACAATAGTCGCAGAGCAGGTCTGAATGGGGTCTAAATCCAGGCCGGGGTGTCATTCTCGGTCCTAGTGAGCCCGGCGCACTGCTTTCCCAGCTTGAGAGATGAGAAAACCTCAGGGACGAAGGAGAGCCAGATCTTTTTTTGTTTTTTTTTGTTTTTTTTTTTCATTTTTGATGCAGTTCTGTTGGATAGAGAACGGAAGCACAGTTTCTTTGGATGCCAATGCTGCTTCTTTAAATGTCACATCTCTCCTACGGTGCTGTTTTTAGTAATGGCTGATTTTGCAGTCAGTGATTTGAGAATGTCCCCCGATGCCGCCGCTTTTGCTCACTGCAAGAGGAAGTGTGCCAGTCCGAAGCACTGGTTCCCTACTGGACCCTTTTACTTTCAGTTCCTCTAATCAGTTTCACTATGAGTCACCTGGGCCATTGTGTCATGCAGTGCTGTGTCTCTGATCTTACGTCCTCTGACCTCGGCTCAGCTCCTCTGCACTCTCTGCTGCGATTTCTTTCTGCCACTGGGGTGCACCTGGAATCCGGTGGCTTTTGCCATCTGCTCCTCTGCTGTGTCACCTGCAGGGTCACCTGGCGGAGCGATATGGAAAGCTGTGTAGCGTCTACCTCAAATTACTCGTCACCAAATTGGAGTTCCACATCAAAGTGAGTGTCCCTCTTTAAGACCAACTCCAAAGCATACTAAGCAACATTTTTCCATGTAACGTTTATAGAAGAGTAATATTATGTGGAAAGCATTTTGATTAGTCATTTTGTGGATTAGCTGTGTATGTACTCCAGACACTCTTCAAAAATAAACCGTAAAATACTATAGTAACATAACTTGTGTCTGTATCTCAGAATCCACACTTCCCAGGGAATCTGCAGATGAGTGACAGGCAGCTGGATTATGTGGGAGAGAATGACGTCAACAACCTGTAAGCAATGTTCTGCTTGGAGAACCAGAGAACACGCTACAATGGAGCAATAACAGACAATAATCAGGCTTATTATACCGTTAACGTTACGGCACAAGCCCACATGTGAAGATAATTAGCCTCGTTAGCTGCTTGTTAGTTCTCTGGGGCTTCCTGGAAATGTTGAGAAGGCAGAGCGTTTGGCGTTAGACATCCGTTCTGAGGCCGAGCAGAAAATCTGTGCACTGTTGTGCTTGCGGTCTCTACATGACGAACTGTTTGGTTTCACGTTGTCTCATTTTTGCTCCATTATCTGACCCCCCACCTGCTTGAGTGAAGCTTCCAGATCACAGTCGAGATGTTTGATTACCTGGAGTGTGAGCTGAACCTCTTCCTGGGAGGTAAGACGCCATCAGATGGCGGGTCGAGGTCCATGATGGAGGGCGGCGCTTTGAAGGATGAGGTGGCTGTACTGATAAGCCCCCCCCCCCCNCCCCCCCCCCCCCCCCAGTATTCAGCTCCCTGGACATGTCCCGCTCCGTGTCGGAGACGGCGGCTGGCCAATGCCGCTTGGCTCCACTCATCCAGGTCATCCTGGACTCCAGCTACTTGTACGACTACATTGTCAAGCTGCTCTTCAAGCTGCACTGCTGTAGGTCCCGCCTCCGCTTGGCGCCCTGGCCACTCCCTGCACTCACTTCCCCTAATTACATATGTCTGTCATTATGCCTCTGGGGGTGGGGCTTATCTCTGCTCTGTTTTGAGGTCACTGAAATTGTACCTCTGTAGACCAATATTGGGCACTTGAATGTAAGTATTCCTTTTCCCACGCACCGATTAACCCAGAATTCCAGATGATGTCATTTCCTGTTCCACCCACACAGTCCCTCAGCTCATCTCATCATGGTGACCCTATCTCTCTCTGTCCCCATCTCTCGCTCGCCCACAGGCTTGCCTGCTGACACCCTCCAGGGTCACAGGGATCGCTTCCAGGAACAGTTCATCAAGTGCGTTCACACGGGATCCTGGGTTGAGGGGGCAGTGCCCTGGGCTGTTGCTTAATCACAGTGAGGCCTTCCTCCAGGCCCCTGATTCTCCTTGCTTTTATGAATCATCAATACTGGTTGGATGTTACAAATTGCATTAAAATCACAACAGAAATTGAACACTTGTCGTATGCTTTGTATTAATAATGCAGTTTTCTCCACTGATGTCCTTCCAGATAGTGTCCGTCAGCCGTGATGAGCCGATCTTAATTAGTTGTGGTCATGCCCATGTGTTGGTGTCTTCTCCTCTCCGGTCCAGGTTGAAGGGTTTCTTCTATCGCTCAAGCAACCTGCAGTACTTCAAACGGCTGATCCAGATCCCCCAGCTGCCTGAGGTGAGCCTGTCAGGCCCAGAACGGCTGCAGAACGTTGGTCTGTTGTTGCTGTTCCGTTCATTTTTGCTTAGTAGTCTCTTGGTTGCCCTTATTACCTGCGATGTTGGGAGAGCTGGAGGGTGGCAAATATTTCATGTTTGTTCCTTGTTCTTCCCTCCTTCCTAGAAACTGCCGAACTTCCTGCGGTCTTCAGCCCTCTCGGACCACATCAGCCCTGTCGTGCTGATTCCCATTGAGCCCCAGTCTCCGGGGAATGAGCACCTGGTGGACACAGAGGGCCCTGTCACGCTGGTACTGCTGCAGTGAGAGGGACCCCGGGGGCTCCTTTGTGCCTGAGGGGGCTGTCTTTGCCTTACTGTCCCTCCTTCCTCCTCAGAGCATCGGGGAAAGAAAATATGATGACGTCATGGGTGCCTCTGCCACCATGGAGCCCAAGGCCTGGCAGGATGGAACACAGAAGGAGGATAAGTGAGCTCCCAGAACAGGAAACCCTGGGGATTGGATTCTTTTTGTCCAGGAGTCCTGATCTTCTCAGTGGCCAGACCTGGTTGGGTGAGCCCTCTGCTACTGACATCTTATATACTTTTCACTTCCTCATAGGGACCTCCAGATCAGGCAGCTCACGAGGGACCTGCAGACTCAAAAGGAGAATCTGACGTCCTTCCGGATGGAGGTGAGCATGGTTGTGGAGCACAGACTCCAGACACCCAGTTCTTAATCAAAAAAAGAGATCAAACATAAATGCATCCAAGCTTGTTTCTCTTAACTGCTGCCTGTTCTCTCGTCTGTGCTGTTTGGGGTCATACTTGGTCCAGATCCTCTGTATGTTTATCGCTTGCCTGCTGATTTCCTGCCAAGTTACATGGGCTTGGCCCTCTGCAGAAGGGCCCTTAAGGTCCTTTTGTGCTTCTGCTAACCATGTGTGTGGACTGCCTTCCCCTCACAGAGCTCCTGCCTGTGTCAGGACCTGCAAGGCCGCGTCAGGGAGTTGGAGGTGGAGCTGGAGGAGCAGCGATACCTGAGGCAGCAGGCACTGGGAGAGGAGGAGTTTCTGAGGGTCCAGCTGGAGGACCTGCGGCGACTGCGGAATGTCACACAAAAGGAGCAGCGGAGCCTCACTGAGATCGAGAGTGAGCCTTAGGGTCCTCCTTTGGTTGGGATTGGGGAAGAGGGTGGTATTTAGCCATCAGTCACAGCGTAAACAAGCATTTTTCCTATGGAGTCTCCTAGGTCCCTCCGAACCCTCTTTTCTCATTCTCTGAGTCTTCCCTCTCCTGCTTTGCTGACTCCTTCTTAAAGCTGACAGCCCAATCGATTGTTCACGTCATGCTTCACGCTGTGTGACACCTCATAATGGTTTGTGATGTGTAAATGTATCTGGAGTGCCCTTGGAAACCTCCCCCAAGGTACCGATGCACATCTGCTGTGCATCTGTCGCAGGAAAGGCGCAGGTCAATGAGCAGCGCTACAGCAAGCTGAGGGAGAAGTACTCTGAAGTGATGCAGAGCCACGCAGACCTGCTGAGGAAGGTAAGCAGGGGCCAACCCCAGCGATGTGCTACATGGACATGTGGACCCATTGGCTCAAATATGCCCTGCTGAAAAAAAGCAACTAAAAAGCAGCTAATGCTGATAGCTGGTCTAGGATGGTCTGAGATGGTCTAGGATGGTCTGAGATGGTCTAGGATGGTCTGAGACGGTCTAAGATGGTCTAGGATGGTCTAAGATGGTCTAGGATGGTCTGAGACGGTCTAAGATGGTCTAAGACAGTCTAGGATGGTCTAAGATGGTCTTGTCTGAGCTCTTGATGCTCTTTGATGGTTTAACTGGGTGGTTCACCACTTGGTTATGCTGGAGTGACCAGCCTATCAAGCTGGTCATGCTAGTATGGCCAACTAAATCATCAAACCGTCATACAAAAACGTACCTTAAGCTGATCAACTATCATAAACTGGTCAGACAGCTTAACGAGCTTAAGGTAATCAAGCTGGTTTTTGCAGCAAGGGGGTCTCCTTCCTCTGACCCTGCAATGCTTTGGTTCCTTACTCACTGTATCACCACCTATTGGGCATGAGGGCTTGTTGCTTGAAACAAAATCTTGGTCTGGAGTTGTACTTTCTGGACCAGATCCTTCCATCTCTGGCATGAGGGAGAGATGGAATTTGACTGTTTCTTTTTCCCAGCATGCTGAGGTGACTCAGCAGGTGAGCCTGGCAGAGGCGGCCAGGGATGAGGTAGAGCTGCTTCGGGGGGGGATGCAGGACACGGCCAGGGCATCTCGCGGGGACGCTGTGCAGTGGGTGAGATGCTATGCCCTCCCTCTGCATCACCGTACCCTCTACATATAAACTTTGATCTCTTCTGTTGATATGCTTTGATCTCATGACTCTCTGCGGTGCATTTGAGTTCATGGCTGAAGAAACCTCCCTCATGCATCGGTGTGTGTCTCCCTGCATCTTGGTACTCTGCATGTCTCCCTTATTCTCTTCATGTGCCGGTGTGTGTCTGTCCTGTTCTTCTCCCTCGCTGCTACCTGACCTCCATGCTTGATGTCTTCTTGGTTTCTCTGCAGGAGGAGCAGCAGGTCCTGCACAGACAGTTACTGGCTGTGAAGAAGGAGCTGGACTCGTTGAAGGAGAGCATGGCCTCCTCAGAGCAGGTAGACATGCCGCCTGGGCCACAGTCCTCGTTCTGCTCAATAATGATCCTCCAAGGAGGCCTTGTGAGACCCCCAGCCAATCCAATGACAGCTTAGAATCCTTGATGTGTGTAGTAGATGGGTGTTCATTTATCACAACAGCAGATTCAGGTCACAAAAAGTGAGTATAGATGCTAGGAAGTGCTGGAGTGAGTATAACCTGGCAACTCACTCACTGAAAGTGAGGATTCATCGAAGTCATGAATGATGATGAAGAAGAAGAAGATGATTATCATTATGATGGCAATTACGATGATGATGATGGTGATTAAGATGATGATATTATGAAGATAATGCCGACGAAGATGGTAATGATGAAGATGATGGTGATGAAGGTGATAAAGATAATAATGTGATGCTGGAGATGGAGATGACGATGTTGATGAAGATGATGTGATGAAGATAATGCCAACGAGGATGATGGTGATGATGTAATGAAGATGATGGTGATGAAGATGACGAAGAAGATGAGATGGAGGATAATGAGGATGATGATAATGGTGACGATGGTGGTGATGAAAATGAAGATGTGATGATGCAATGAAGATGATGTGATGAATATGAAGGTGACGAAGAAGATGAGATGAAAGATAATGAGGATGATGATGATAATAGTGATGATGGTGGTGATGAAAATGAAGATGTGATGATGCAATGAAGATGATGTGATGAATATGAAGGTGACGAAGAAGATGAGATGAAAGATAATGAGGATGATGATGATAATAGTGATGATGGTGGTGATGAAAATGATTATGATGATGATGAAGATGATGGGTATTATTTAGTTTAATTGACCCCCATTTCTCTTTTTCCCCATACCGCCTCTCTCATTGTGCTGGGTGGGTTTCTCTGTCCCCCAGCCAAATTATGCCCTAAGTTCTAACCTCAATGCCCTGGAGGCAGAGAGGGCAGAGCTGGCTCAGGTGATCGGCTGCAGGGAGCAGGAGGTGGTCAGGCTGAAGCTAGAGCTAGAGCAGGCTCAGAGTAGACTGGCTGGAGAGACTAAGGCTGGGAAAGTGACTGCTGAGAGCCTGCAGAACCAGCTTAACCAGAAGGTAGGCGGCCAGAGACTTCCAAAATCATATATGTGTGTGTGGTCATCCTTTTTCTCATTCCGTCAGAACACTGCAATACATGTTAGCTGGAATACAAGAAATAGACACTGGATTCGAGGAGAAAATGACTTAATACTAGTGAAATGATCTGCCCATGCAGTAAGTTATTTTTACTTCACAAGAATTCTTAAAATACGTTGGCTCAAGTCCAGAAAAAAGCAGGCTCTGAGAAGCATTTAAAGGTTTGAATTAAGTACAAAAACGCTCCTTTTAAGATCAAATCACTTGATATTAGGCTTGACACAGCACAGTAATAAATGAAAATAAGCAAAGACCTCCATCCATCCATGGCACGCTCACACACCTACAGACAACTTGGAACCTCCAGTTAGCCTCAGTATGCTTCTGGACTGTTGGGGGGAAAACACCTGGAAACGACACGGGGAGAACATGCAGACTCCACACACACGGAACCGTGACGCAGACTTGGTGACGCCGGCTGGTTCCATAGGTGAGGGGTGACAGTGCTGCCCCACTGCACCACCCTGCTCTCCCAAAACAAAAGCAATTGTAACTTTACAACACTTGAAAAAGAATAGGACATGGAATAACAAAAGAAATCCATAATTTAAGTCACTATCACTTAAAACTAGTGTGGCTTGATTACGCTATTACTTGAAACACTTAAAGCCATATTTAATTTAAAGGTAGTTCTTAATCTCGGAGGATACAATTTAAAACAAGGAACTGCAATCATAACAATGACTGCAATTGAATTTTTCCAACATCTACTTACAACTGCGAGTAGTCAGCAGTGTACCCTCATACACCCAATGGGATTTTTTTCAACATACACTTTATATACAAAATAAAGGGGGAGTGCAAGAGAGTGAAAAAGAGAATGATGCTGTGAGAGGGCTGTCTAGCGACAGGGTGAGGGAGAAAGTCAGCTAGACACAGAAACAGACAAGAAGACAAGAATGGCCGTTCATTTTCTTGCAGTTAAAGCATGTTTCCCCATTTTTTATTGAATAAAAAATACTTTCTTAAAATATGTTTTGTGTCGCTCTTAAATCAAGCATCTTCAGCTTGGCACTGAACCTTGAAACAAGTTTTCAAGGGAAAAAGAATGGTATCATTTTTCAATTTGTCTAATGTAGCTTGTTTTACCAGTAAATTAGTCAATGCTAAGATTTTCTGACTAATACAAGTCTATACAAGACAGATTTATGATCAATTTAAGAATGCACCACAAATCCAAAGACAGAAACTAGTCAATATTTTTTAAAAACAAGATGATGTTGTATTTCCAGGTTTAAGATTTTAAATCTTGGCGCGTACAGATGGATTTGCAGTGAACCGTGTCCCTGTCAATCTAGGCGAGCAGGGGACAAGCTCTGGAGAGTCAGCTGGCAGCTGCCCGCAAAGCAGCCCTGCAGGGGGTGCTGGGTGAGGCCCAAATAATCATCCAGGACTCCCTGGTCCAGCTGGAGAGCCCAGCACACCACAGCTGCACCTGCTTCACAGGTTTGTTCCCGTTCTCGGGTTCCCTCTCCTTCTGGCTGGGTTCTGCTAATCTCCCATATTCTCATCTGTTCCACCAAGGGACTGTATCACTGGGCAGTGTTGCCCTAGCCCAGTACCAGGAACTTCTATCTGTGTGTGTCGGTGTCTTTTAGCTCTGATGCTCTTCTACTTGCAGACAACCTCTTGTCCAGGTGTCAGGCAGCTCTCGACTGTTTGGACAGGTTGCAGATCAATAAGGATCACTACACAGAACACCAGGCAGGTATGTCAGTGTCTAGGGGACCTCCACTGAAGTCCTGGTCCCATGTGTACTGATGGGGCTTTGACTGTGGTATCTTTTCATGTAGATGTTCTGCAAATGGTGCAATCCGTAGTGCAGCTGGGTCACCTGGTTGGAGACATGATTGTGCAAGCTGGTGCCCCTGTGGACCAGGGCAGCTGTGAGTAATACTGTCATCTCGTGCAGGAAATACTCAGCGTGAGATTTGTGTGTGTGCGTGTGGGCCACAGCCAGCTGGTGCCAGTGCTGCCCCTGTGTGTTTTCCCAGCACTGTCTCAGGCTGTGAAGATATTTGGCTCCCAGGTTCTGATAGTGTTAAAGCAGCTCCAGGACCGTGACACCATGGGAAATGCAGATGTCACTGGACTAAAGGTCTCGCTGGAAACGATCCGGATCACGGCCAAGGTGACTGACCACATCCACTAGGACTTGAATCTAAAGTATTAATAATCATCTACCATTATCATTGCTGAAATTGACCTATTTATCACACTGAGTACGTTTTCCTGGCTTAGCCATGTTATCTGCTCAATCGGACCACCAGAGATATGTTTGGACTCAGGTCCATTGTCTGCTCTTCTCAACACCCCCCCCCCCCACAGAACCCGCACCCCCGTGGACTGGAGCTGAACCAGAGGGAGCTGGCCAATCTGGTGGAGCAGGAAATGGCAGCAACCTCCATCACGGTGGAGATTGCGACTACCAGGATTGAGGTGCACATGTGTCTTAAAAACCACTGAGCTATGACATTCGGCATATTAAGTGATTGTGATTGATGGATAATCCCCTGACAATTAGTTCCCATCCTCAACTGTTTCTACATATTTACTTAGGAAATGCTCAACAAGACACAGACTGTGGGCAAAGGTATAAAGATGGAAGTCATCAAAAGGTCAGATCCCTTGTAAAGTCTTACCACTTTGCCACGCCTTCATGTCCTTTGAACCTGACCTCCCAGCCCCCACGGAGGAGATGTAATTTTTCTGGGGCTGTACGTTGCCCTCTCTCACCATCCCTGATCCCGTTGCAGGATCTTGGTGTCCTGCACTGAGCTGATGCTGGCCGTCAAAGCTCTGGTCCTATCTTCAAAGGATCTGCACCAGGACATTGTGAAGAGTGGCAGGGTGAGTAAGGAGACATTGAAGTCTTTTTGTTTAATGTTCAGATTGCAAAAGTTTAGACAGACTGAAACCTGGAAGGTTCAACCTTGCCTTCCATGTATGTCATTTTTGTAATGTGCATACGTTAAATGTTGTATATTAAATACCTGTAGGGGGCAGTATCTGTGAAGGAGTTCTATGCTAGAAACTCTCGCTGGACTGAAGGCCTCATCTCAGCCTCCAAGGCGGTGGGCCTGAATGCTGCCATGATGGTGTAAGTTGTCTTCTACCTACCAGCTTTGAGAGGTTCTTCCTTTCTGATCTTGTCATCTGGTTAGTGTCACAGGGTTTCCATGTGAACAGGGATGTCGCTGGCAAGCTGATCCAGGGCCACAGCAAGATTGAGGAGCTAATGGTGTCGTCGCACAAGGTCGCAGCCAGCACTGCACAGCTGCTGGCCGCATCCAAGGTACCTCAGACCCTCGTCTCTGACTCTCTTGTTGACATTGGCCATCTGCTGGGTAAAAGAGCTTCATGTCCCCTCAGCTAGCAAATCTGTGTTCTCTCTTCACTATGAGGTGTCTCTGTCTGTCCTGGGTCGCCCCGGTCTCACTCCTTCCCCTGGTGAGCTCATTCTGTCACCCTTCCTGACAGGTGAAGGCGGATAAGGACAGCCCCAACCTGGCACGACTGCAGAACGCTTCCTGCAGGGTCACCCAGGCTGCCGCCAGGGTCCTGGCCTCCGGCAAGTCCGGGAAGTCCCACATGGAGGAGATGGGTAAGGCTGCGATGAGAAATGTACCGGAGACTCTTATTTCTCTTAGAGCTGTTAACTACTTTGGCTGTGTGATTCTGGTTTCTCACCATTTCTGGGTCCTTTTAACCCAGATTCCATGGACTTCACCAGCTTGACCCTCATGCAGATCAAGCGAAAGGAGATGGATCTGCAGGTTAGAGTCATTCCCCAAAAGGAGTGGGGCATGGCCAGGACTTGGACCGGGGGATAGTTGTGGTGCATTTTTTTTGATGAATGTGCGTGTGTGTGTAGGTACTGGTCCTGGAGCTGGAGGGGCAGCTGCAGAAGGAGAGGGAGCGGCTTGGCGAGCTGAGGAAGAGGCACTATGAGCTGGCTGGCGTGGCCGAGGGCTAGGGGGAGCAGGATAAGCAGGGTGACTCCAGCCTGTGTCTCTCTAACCATGTGCCTTTATAACCCTGTGCGCCTCTAATCCCCTGCCCCTCTAACCCTGTCCCTTTTTAACCCTGTGCCGCTGTATCTCTGTGCTCCTGTATCCCTGTGCCCCTCTATCCCTGTGCTCCACTAACCCTGTGCCCCTCTAAACTTATGTCCCTGTATCCCTGTGCCCCCTTAACTCTGTGCCCCTGTATCCCTGTGCCCTTCTAACTCTGTGCCTCTGTATCCCTGTGCCCTTATAATCTTGTCTCTCTATCCCTGTGCCCCTGTATCCCTGTGCCCTTCTAACTCTGTGACCCTATAATCTTGTGCCTCTCTATCCCTGTGTCCCTCTTACCCTGTCCCCCTCTAACTCTGTGCTCCTGTATCCCTCTATCCCAAATTCTGTGGCCCTCTAACCCTGTGCCCCTCGATCCCTGTGCCTCTGTATCCCTGTGTCCCTCTAACCCTGTCCCTTTTTAACCCTGTGCCTTTTTAACCCTCTGCCCCTCTAACTCTATGCCCCTCTATCCCTGTGCCCCAATAATCTTATGCCCCTCTAACCCTGTGCCTCTGTATCTCTGTAGTCCTCTAACTCTGTACCCCTGTGCTCCTCTATCCCTGTGCCCCTCTAAGCCTATGTCCCTGTATCCCTGTGCCCCCCTAACCCTGTGCCCCTGTATCCCTGTGCCCTTATATTTTTGTGTCTCTCTATCCCTGTGCTCCTGTATCCCTGTGCCCCTGTATCCCTATGCCCCTCTGTCCCTGTGCCCCTATAATCTTGTGCCCATCTAACCCTATGCCCCTCTATCCCTGTGATCCTCTAACCCTATGCCCCTCTATCCCTGTGCCCCTCCCACCCCCTCACAAACGTGTGTGTTACTCCTTGAGTGTGTTAGACAGAAGTTCCTTGTTTTCATTGTAGGAAATTTGGTTTAATCCAAAACTGACTTTCAGAGATTCCAGTCAGTCCAGCTGCGGGGTCCTGGTCATAAAGAACCCCTGGGATGTGTTGTTCTAAGTATGTATCATTTGTTGAAGCAGTCAGGACAGGGCCCAAATTTTGACTCCACCTCTCCCTTCCCAGGAATGGATTAAGGCCTGTGCTGCCCCAGTGCTGCTCTCTGTGTCAGGATATCACGTCTGCTTTGTACCTTCCAGAGACTCTTCCATTTAATAAACCTGTGCTCTCACCCCAGCCAAATGAAAGGAAGCTCTTTAAGAGGCCTGCAGTCTCACATTTGTTATGGGAACCTTTTTTTTTCCAATCAAATGCATCTTGAGGTGAAGTGAGACTAAAGTGATGTCATGAGAGGACTGCTATCTCCGCCTGCTGGCCAATTTGGAAAATTACAAGTGACCACCTTGCCCTGTTTTTCTGTGGAGTCAAACTGGTGATCATACCAACCCCAGGAGTCTTGAAGAACCTTTGACTTCCCAAGATGCACCTCTGAATGCAACACAAATGAAAAAAAGTTTTATGTGTATTATGTGAAGAGTCCTGAAGCAGTGTCAGCCCCTGGTGGGGCTATAAGTTAGCTTGTGGTGTCCTCCCCTCCCTTCCCCTCTCCACCCTTACCTTCCCCTCCCCTCTCCCAACATAAAGAACACAAAGGAGATTCTTCCTCCATGTTTGAAAATGGACTGTCAGCAGATATTTAATGGTAGGTGGGGCAGGCCCCCAAATGTATCTGTATGTAGACTCCTGTATTCTTGGGGCAGGTTCTCATTCTGATGGAGCCCGGGTTGATGGTCTATGGTCATTATGTTGATCCAGTGTCTGCTGCCCTGATGATTAGAGTCCAGCCTCTCGGATGAAATGTAAGCAAAGTGCTGCAGTGTAGAGAAGTAACCTCAAACACAAACCTGCATTTAAAACCAGATTAAAAAAACAGGTTTGTGTGTATGAGGGTCTGTGTGTTTATGTGTGTGTGTCTATGTGTGTTTATGTGTGTGTGTCTATGTGTGTTTATGTGTGTCTGTCTATGAGTGTTTATGTGTGTGTGTCTATGTGTGTTTATGTGTGTGTGTCTATGTGTGTTTATGTGTGTCTGTCTATGTGTGTTTACGTGTGTCTGTCTATGTGTGTTTATGTGTGTGTGTCTATGTGTCTTTATGTGTGTGTGTCTATGAGTGTTTATGTGTGTGTGTCTATGTGTGTTTATGTGTGTGTGTCTATGAGTGTTTATGTGTGTGTGTCTATGTGTGTTTATGTGTGTGTGTCTATGAGTGTTTATGTGTGTGTGTATACCTGTAGCACTGTCACCTGTCATGGAGTTGGGGGTCTGGATCCTGCCACACGTCACATGGGTTCTCTCCTGCACTCCTGAAGCACACTGCCAGTCCCTCAATACACATGTATGCCTCTCTCTGAGCCTAATGCTGCTACATTTACACAATTACTGAATATACTAAAACTTACACAGTGACTAGACTTACTATATATACTTCAGATGCTACATTTACACAGCGATTATGCGACATGCTACATGCTGTACAACATAAAATGCAAAAGGTACACAGCAGTGCGCTGTGACGGAGTGACATCCCGTCCAGGGTGTCCCCTGGCCCCATGCCCTGTGCTGCCTGGGATGGGTTCCTGCCCAGAGGAACTGGGGGGGGATTTGGGTGGACGTGTTCATTTCAGGGCTTGGTCATTTTCCATTTCCTTTGTCTGCCATCCCAGGTCTCCAGCTGATTTTTCACTCACTTGCTTTGGATAACACATCCAGGCCAGGGGGAAACTATCTTTTATATAAAATAAAATTTTATGTATATGCAATGTTTTAATAAAATGCTCCAGCTTTGCTAACAACATAACAGTGTCATATTTTATGTGGAGGGCTGGGGGACAGATAAATTCAGATGTTTTTTCCTGTCCTTATTAGGGAGGGTAAGCGGCGTTCCAGCTGGTCATGCCTTCATTTCATTTTGTTCTGTTTGTTGAGCTTTGAAATAGGACTCCTCTGAGAGTATGTATTCACAGGATTAACATACAGTATTGAGTAACGGATTCACTATGCGGGACAGTCTTACGTAAAGAGGATTAATCACTAACAGATAAAACGGACTATGGATCCCAGTGTAGCACTACCACTGATCCATCCCAGATTTTTTCTTAATGTATACTCAGGGATACATTATTTTTTTGCACAGGTAGTTCTCGACTTTTGCCGCAAAATATTCTCGTAAAGACTAAAAAAAATCGTAAATCTTTAGTTTGGAAAGCGAGAACTACTTGTATTGCATTGAATTGTCATGCATATATCTTTAAATTTGTGCTTTTGAGAACTGTGGAAGATTTGTGGGAGCACGGAATGTACTTTCTAACATTTTCAGTGTCCTTTTTGAATTTTAATTACGTCGCAGGTTTGACGCTAAACTGCTTTTTCACCGCACTGACCCACTGGATTGACTCCCTATCTGATTGGCCGTCACCACCTGTAGTTTCAAAATACTACCACCAGATGTCTCGCTTGTGCTGCCCGGTAATACGCAACGCAATACGGAAGACCCCAACATGAAAAACTGTTAGGCTTAAGTTGTTCGTTGTTTCTTTCGGATCTATACTATATAAATTTGCTATATTTGAAAGAACTTTTAAAAAATTCCCACACAGATGCACAGAGGTGCAATGGTCTTAGATATTCCTCATTTTATTTCGGTAAACCATATTCATTTTCAAATGTGTAATGCTGAGATAAAATTGTAATTTACAGAAAGTCATTTTTATGTTATTGGAATAGGAAATTATTAGATATTATTACAGTTCGGAGTCTGCATTTAGGTTTTCCAAATGAGAAGGTGCCTCTTACCGCGCTGCTCACAGACATCCACCCTGCCCCCACCAGACTGCGTCCCTCAGGTACTGTATTAATAAGTATGGAAGCCCGTTTCCTCCACCGGGGAAAAAAATAATAAAAAATTTAAGTCGAAATTTCGAGATAATATCTCAAAAGAACGAGATAACTAAATCGAAATTTCCACTTATTATCTCGAAATAACGAGATAACTATCCCGAAATTTCGACTTAGTATCTCGAAATAACGAGATAAATATCTCGAAATTTCGACTTAGTATCTCGAAACAAGTTTCTAGCTTTAATAACTTTTCACGGAAGTAAGGTGGTGCGTTTTTAATGACAGAATCGTGTTTTCCAGTACACAGACAACGATGCACACCGATTATTTTTGCGCTTCAAACCATTTCGTGATTTGTGCAAAATCGTGCTAATAGCTAATATTATAGGTGCTGTCAGCTGTAATGACATGGTGGTTTAGCATTTTGGGCTCGTGGCGACTGATGCACACCCCTGTGTTTCCCAGATTGCTTCGCGTACGAATTTTAATAAATTTTTGAATGTTCGAATGTATCCGTATAATGTTGTAGCCCCCCCCAATAAATCAAAACCAGCTAATACAACCCCCCCAATAATCATGTTTCTCCCCCCAATGTTCCAGCCAAAGTTACGCCCTTGAATGGGACAATATATGAATGGGTTAATAACTTTAAAACTAGACAAGACAGGCACTTCTAGTGAAGTGTGTTTTGATCAGTGGACTACAGGGAACAATGCACACCCCTTGGATTTTCAGAATAACTTTCTCTCTATCAGTTATTAATTAATACATTGTATCCATATTATATGGCATAGGGGTAATGCACTAAAGGGTTAATAGCTCTGAAACAAAATGAGACAGCCATGTCCTATGAAGTGTGCATGGATCAGGGGAACCTGGGGGACAATGCACACCCCTTGGATTTTCAAGATCACTTTCTATCTAACAGTTATTAATTATTACATCGTATCCATATTACATGCCATTGCTCCATTTCATACATATTGACAGTTAATTGATAACACAAATTAATCCATAAGTAAGTTGTAAAGTGTGATTTAGGCAGTGCACTGTGGGACAAAGCTAATGTATCACAGCTGAATTGCTTGATTATGTGTTTCGTAATTGTTGTGCATCGTTGTCTGTGTGTTGGACAACACGATTCTGTCATTAAAAACGATGGTTTCACCAGGTTTGCTCCTGATGCAGGTAAGTCTGCCGCAACTTGAGGTTCCCCTCCAGCAGGGGAGGTAGACAGTTGAGCTCCACTTTTAACAGAGCTGATGCCTTAAAAATGCGAGACTTGAACCGTGCCGATCAAGGCAGAAACGAGGGAGCTGATTCACACTGCAAGGGATGGTCATTACCGTAACACTGGACAGAGGCCGCAAAGATGCAAATGTAAGGTGTGCAGGGGCTGATGGCTGAGGCATCCAGTCATGGAAAATGTTTAAAACACTAAAGGGATACCCAGCTTTGAGGTGTAATAGGTCTAATAATCATACTAATGTGCAAGTAATCCATTCATACTGTATGTTATTGCTCTCCCCAGGCTGTGCATGATGGACCATGATTCATTTGAAACTGTTCTGATAATGGATGTCTTTCAAGGCAGACTCCCCAAGAGTCTGTCCCTGCACGTAGATAACCCCCCCAGCAGTAATTCCATCATACGTAAACACCGCACAAACAGATCTAAAAATAAGAGTCAGGGAGTTTGGCTTGCCAGGACCAGGCCCTAAAATCTCAGCCAGCACATGCTGTAGCTCTTCTTAAACTAGAAGGAAATATTAGCCACTCAAAACTTGCTAATCCGTTTAGTTTTGTACCCCCCCTCCCCTCCCGCCCCCCCAGGGCAGCACCTCTGAATGGTTTTTATCAAATTTCATCACGTTGCTACCGGTCTGAATTCAGTAAGCTTGGAACTCTCTCTACATTCCGTGTTTGTGATGCATGAAATTTTGTTCAAATTAATTTTGTTTGTTCCTAAATGTTTCCCCTTTGGCATAAGTGCTGTTTTTATTTATGTATATCAAGAATGCAGCGGTTCAATTTCCTGATCTGTGATGTGGTTTCAGTCCTGTATGTCAAAGATTCCAAATCGCTTTGTTCCTGGCTACTAGATCTCTTTTCCAAAGGTGTTCTTTCAAAACATTTTACACCCAATGAATTTGCAGACTAAAGAAACCATTGTGACTCCTTAATGGGAAATTTCATACTGAATTAATTTATCATGTGCTTATTAATGAAAATCCCTCACTGGAGCTGTTAAAAAAGAGCTTCATCCATCCATCATTTACCACTTTTCCGGGTCGGGTCGCGGGGGCAGCAGTCTAAGCAGGGAAACCCGGATTTCCCTCTCCCCGGCCACTTCATCCAGCTCCTCTGGGGTAATTCTGAGGCGTTCCCAGGCCAGCCGGGAGACATAGTCTCTCCAGCATGTCCTGGGTCTTCCCCAGGGCCTCCTCCCAGTGGGACATGCTCGGAACACCTCACCAGGGAGGCGTCCAGGAGGCATCCTGACCAGATGACCGAACCACCTAAACTGGCTACTCTCGATGCGGAGGAGCAGCGGCTCTACTCTGAGTCCCTCCCGAATGACCGAGCTTTTCACCCTATCTCTAAGGGAGAGTCCAGCCACCCTGCGGAGAAAACCCATTTTGGTCACTTGTATTCACGACCTCGTTCTCTTGGTCACTACCCACAGTTCATGACCATGGGGGAGGGTAGGAACGTAGATCGACTGGTAAATCGAGAGCTTTGCCTTTTGGCTCAGCTCCTTCTTCACCATGACAGACGGATGCAGCGCCCACATCACTGCTGACGCCGCACCGATCCACCTGTTGATCTCCCGCTCCATCCTTCCCTCACTCATGAACAAGACCCCGATATACTTAAATTCCTCCACTTGGGGAAGGACCCCCTCCCCGACCCGGAGAGAGCACTCCACCCTTTTCCGGCTGAGGATCATGGTCTCGGATTTGGAGGTGCTGATTTTCATCCCAGCCATTTCATGCTCGCGTGTGAACTGCTCCACTGAGAGCCGAAGGTCACGGTCTGATGAGGC